AGCATCTGATGCGAGGAGACCGAAGACCTCCAGAATGGTGCTGGCGCTTTAGGGCTTTGCCACACGCACTCAGCTGGGCTGCCTGCAGATGAGCAAAGGCTTGCTCAGAAGGAGGGCGTCCAACTGCAACAGTCATTTGGAACAGGCTGGTGCTGCTGGTAATGTGGCGCTATCGTTTCCTCATGAGATTTCTGCAAACTGGCATCTCCCAGAGAGATTCGACTTCAATTCCTATAATCCCCAGCCACCATCACCCTGTTGGGTGGAATTTCAAGGCGTTATAGTTCCAACTCATTTGGAGAACACTGGATTGGGAGAGACCACTGTACCCAGGAGGCTTGTGCAAGGAGGCATGATCCATCTCAGCTTGAAGACAACACTGGCTGTTCCAGTGGTTAATGTGAAGTGTCAGAGGCTGTATTCTTCACCTCACCAAGGGTCTGCCTCAACCACCCGCTTTGTTTTACATGCACAGAAGATCACTGAAGGGCCACAGAAATTACTTAATTGGCTCAATTGCTCTGATCTAAGGCGTGGAAGAACCATGATGCTTAGTGGAGCTGCTTCGGTGGGGTGATTTAATCAAACCATCATTGAATCAAATTAGTTCTTGAAGCTTTGAACAGTCCTGGTGACCAGTAGATATTAAGAGATACCAGGGCTCACTTCATAGTATCACCCATTTTCATATGAAATATGTTATTTTAGGTACGGGTAAGCTATATTTACCCTGTAGCAAGTATTAAGTTGATCTCTTGAGTCCAACTCTTGGATCAACTTAATCTGTAGTTGCAGTATCTGCAAGCGTTCCTGTTTCTTGAGCTTTGGAACTGATAAATACCCTTGTTTTCTTCTTGTGGTTGAATGCATCACCCACACCTTGCTGGGTCATTAAAAGAATTGCCTCCATAAACTGAATTGTGGCCCCCGATCTATGTTTCAGTATGGATTGCATGTCAAGATTTTCAGGTCAGTGATCAGTCAACCTCTGTTTAGTGGTGTAGCTGGTATATCCTACTAGCATATCCTGCCATTAAATGATGTATGGTGGGAGGTATGATTGTATCTTTCCACATGCCCAAAACATGTGGTCATACTTCACATTGGGTCATCTGAAAAGGGATGGTGAAATGCTAGGTTTGTTTGCCCATAGTTGTAGCTATGATTGTCAGTGTAAGCAAGGAAAACTTAATCCAGAAGGTGACGTAACAGCAGAAGCCTGGTGGAATGATGGAATAAGGCCAGCATTGTGTGATCAAGGGCAACATGAATTTAGACCACTTAATTAGTTTATCGTTCAATTTATTGTTCAAATGAAAAAAAATGTTAATTCAGTAACCAGGTTAAATTCGTTGTGCAAATAGAATAAAAGAGATTTATATAAATCATTTAATGATATATGCAGCAATCCTGAAAGATAGGTTGCCATTATTCCCATATAGTGGTAGGATTGTGAAATAGTAGCCTGCCTAAGATTTGAATCCAGTCTCCCTGCTCAACAGTGACACTCTTATAAAACAGATTATGTGGGCTTTAATCTAACAATCTGAATTTTCTCTTTCTTTCTGCTGGCTTAGGGTACCTATTGAAGTAGTTCTTGGCTTGGAAACTATCAGTGTTGAGGAAGAAAAATCCACGTGAGAGCCACAAATGGAGAATCAGTCTTGGGACTTCTTCGGAGCCCCCATGAGCAATGTCAGCACCAATCAGACTCTTCTGAACAAGATGCCGCAGTTGCCCCTGGAGGTGCAGGTGGTTACCATCTTGCTGGTTCTGCTGATCTGTGGGGTAGGCATTGCAGGCAATGTCATGGTGGTCCTGGTGGTCCTTCGCACCAAGCACATGGTGACTCCCACAAACTGCTACCTGGTGAGCCTGGCTGTTGCCGACCTGATTGTGCTGCTGGCAGCAGGGCTGCCCAACATCTCTGAGGTGGTGGCCTCCTGGGTGTACGGCTATGCTGGTTGCCTGTGCATTACTTACCTGCAGTACTTGGGCATCAACATCTCAGCATGCTCCATCACAGCCTTCACAGTGGAGCGCTACATTGCCATCTGCCACTCCATTAAGGCACAACTGCTTTGCACCGTAGCCCGGGCCAAGCGCATCATTGCTGCCCTGTGGTTCTGCACTTCGCTGTATTGTCTCATGTGGTTCTTTTTGGTGGACACCTCAAAAGCCATGTTTGCTGATGGCACTCAAGTCAGCTGTGGCTACCGTGTCTCCAGGAACCTCTACATGCCCATCTACTTCTTAGACTTCACCATCTTCTATGTCATCCCCCTGGGCTTGGCCACTGTCCTCTATGGTCTCATTGCCCGCATTCTCTTCATGAACCCACTGCCTGCCACACCACAGCATGCAAGCCGGCTGAGCAAACGCAGCAGCTCCATCACTATCTCCAACTCCATGAAGCTGTCTTGCCGGGGGACCAAGAGTGCTTTGAGCTCCAGGAAACAGGTTCTTCTTTTTGCTTATTTTCAGGGCAGGGATGCAGATTAGGTATGTAGATGCATAGGAGTTTAGGAAGCCTTTGTCCAACTAGTCCAGTTTTTTCTCCTCTTAGGAACACTAACTCTCTAGGATTTCAGGCAGAGCTGTCAACACATCCCATCTGATTCTTCTATGTGATGACGATGATGATGATGATTGAAAAGGAAGCCTCTGCTGCTCTTGAGCTATGGTCCTTCCCAAACTGTCTTAGGTTAAGAGATTTTGGAGTCAGAGACAGAAAACTCCAGTATCATCCACTACCATGACTATTTTCCTCAAAGGTGAGGAAAGTGAGGTGATTCACCCCAGGCACCAATAACTGATCATTTCGTGCTGTTTAATATTTCCTCAAGTGCAGCCTCACCTTGATGAACTGTGTTGCTGCCCTAGTGAAAAGGAAAAGGAGAAGGAAAAGAGAAGTTACTATGAAATGTGTTGTGCTGTGCCCTAGCTGTGAATATTGACCCAGAGCAATAATAAAAGGAAGTATTAACATACAAATGTATTGATCCATCTCCCTTTCTTCCACTATTTAGTGCAAGCCCCATGTGCTGTACAAATCACTCCCCATTTAAAGACCCAACCAAATGTCCAGTGTTTTCTGAACCTATTGCGAGTACAATATCGAGTAAATAGGTACTTGTTTTACACCAAGAATCAGGACAAGCTCTTTGCCTATCTACTTTGGTCCAGCAACTTTTCTTGAGTGTCTGAGCCAAAGAAGGTCTTCCCCATTATCTGAATCTTTTAACTGGAGTCACCAGCAATGAAGTTGGGACCTTTTCACCTACTCTGCTATTGAGTTTACCCTTAGTGAAAGATAGGAGATTACGGAGCATTTAATTAAGATATCGGTAGAGTGGGAAATATTATTTATGGGTACTGCCACATAAGTAACAAGGAAAGAACAAATAAAGATAAGTGCTGGAATAATACAGTGTTGGTATGATGGGAAAGAAAAGTGAGTACAAGAACAAATATGGAACATTTGGAAGTTCTAGATTTGAAGTGAAGATAAAAACTGGGCTCTATCAGGCAGAATGAACATTACACATCAATTTAACTTTAGTAAATTAAACCTTTCATTTCATTCTAGGATTCCTTGGACATTCACAGATATAACTTAATATATGTTATCTTTCTATTCTTTTCAAATTATTTTATATACTATAAGAAGCTCAAGCAGACAAGGGTAGTTCTTTTCCTTTCCCCAGTTTAATCCTCCCCACATATCTGGATGATAGGCAAGGCTGAAAGTAAGAATAACAGGTTCAGAGTCACCCAGTGAAAAGGATTTGTCTGTGGATTTTCCCAGCATTACTCTGACACTAACTAGTAGAAATCACTGGATCAGTATGTTCAATAATATATTCGGGGGTGTTTTTGGAACATACTATATTATATTTAATATCTCATGCTAAAAGCAGCAATGCAGCATTACAGACAAATGGCTTAATATATCCATCAAGCTTGTGTATTTAAGAAAAGTCTCTGGCATTAGAAAGCTAATACAATATCAGTTTTGGTTTCCTGGGAAAGGTGGAGGGGAAGATAGGAAAGAGTGGTTTTAAATGGACATGGACATGCAATATTACAGAGCCTTCTCCAACCTGGACCCCTTTAGAAGGGTTAGATTACTATTCTTATCAATCCCAACCATTGGTCATGTTGGATAGCGCTGGTGGGAGAAATTTTCCAAGGCATCTTGGATGATGAACTTTGCATTAGAAGTTCACAAATATGAACAAGAACAGTTCCTTTATCTTTCTCTCTCTTGGGTAACATCTGCAAATCGGGGAAGAAAAGGTGGAATTTCAAAGGCCTATTCATGTGAACATCTTGGCATGTAGAAGAGTGGAGCCGAAACAAAATTATTGGAAAATACGATATAAGCAAAATTATTGGAAAACATATTTCCAATAAATACAATATAGGGAAGCCCCTAGGCTGTGCCAAGCTAATTGTAGGCATGGGCCACTAAGTGTAGAATTGAATTCCAGTTTCAGCTGGCACCAGCAACTGAATGGAGTGCCCCTTTCCTATTTATTGATAGGCTTTTGTTGTTGTTCTCGACCTTGATATACTAAGTCTCTGTTCTGAGGCTTTGGACAACAGAGTATTTCTTCCTTGTCACTGGCTTCAAAGCATTCACTTCTCAGTCATGTCGTTATCGAATAATGGTTAATATGGCCCCTCCCAGACAATCTATTTATTTATTTCATTTATTTATTTCAAGTATTTATAAGGCCATCCAACTCAGTCAATATGACTCTAGGCAGCATACAATAAAAATAAACAATTCAGGAAAAAATACCCCAACATACATCATTGAAAAACAATCCAATATATAAAAGGATGGACTGAACAACCAAAACAACCAAAAGAGGACTCCATTTAACTGGACCCAAATGCTTGGGGGAAAAGCCAGGATGAAAATCAGGAGGCTCTGAATATGCTCTTTCCTCACTGTGATCAGAAGGACAATTTGCAACCCTCTTGCAAATTGCATGCAGGTGGAGAGAGCCCAAAAGGAAGGAAGGAGATGGGAGTTGAATGGGAGGAGCCTGCGGGAGTGTATAGACTCATGGCAAGAGTTACCTATCTCTCACCCACACCAGGGAGGAAGAGGGAGAGCAAGAGTGAATGTGGAGAAAATGGACTTTGAGAAAGAGTTCTGCCTTGTCCACCTCTAGCAAGCCAAATTTTCAAGGCAGGGTGAACAGTCTTCAGTCCATGCGAGTTATGCAGCTCCCAACTGCCTTTTTGAAGCCCATGGAGACTGCCCCCTCCCCCAATCACATTGCCAAAATGTTCCACAAATGATCAAGTACTGGAGACATGACTCCCAACTGAATTCTCATGGGAGATAAGCAAAAAATAAAATGCATTATAGTTGTGAGATGTTATGACATCACTGCTCAGTTCTCTGTACCCTTTCCTGCTACGAAAAATTATAGTAAAAATGTCTATTCTTAGTTATGAAAATGTTGCCTGTCCTGGTTCCAAAGGAATTCAACACTTCACAATAGCCAGAACTCTGCTGTTCTGTTTAGTCATTGTGAGATGATGGTTGTGATCCTAATCCTGTTTACTGAGGCTCGAAAGTCCATTGCTCATGGTGTGATATATGTCTGCAATACGTGACTAGAATTAAATTCTGAGACTGCAATTTTATACACACTTCCTTGAGAATCAAGCTCCTTGACTTGATTGGACTAAGACAGTGTTGTCCAAACTTGGCCACCTTAAGATGAGTGGACTTCAACTCCAATGGCTGGCTGGGGAATTATGGGAGTTGAAGTCCACTGATCTTAAAGTGGCCAAGTTTGGACAACACTGGACTAAGAGAATCACAATTAATGATGAATGTTAAGAGAGGATACATCCAGACTGTGATCTTCATATAATCTACTTCTATTCAGTAAACAGAGAAGGGGCACAGCTATCAAACCTTTCAAGATCTGTTACTATTTGTATCTTCATCTTCACCTGTATTAGTTTATTGGCCTACCGTGCACCGCATACAAAAGGGAAAATGCAATGGATGAATGTTTTCCGATTTTCTTCTGCAGTAAAAATAATTTGCATTACATTTTACTGAGAAAAAAGTGTTTTATTTTTTTCCAAAGATGAAGAAAAAACAATGGAATTTCCATAGGATTCAGCACAGGGTTCTTGCATTCCTTAGTGGGCAGGTAGCAAGGTGCAGGAAGTCGGGACTGGCATTGCTTTTCATCTTTCAGAGAGCCATCTTCTCAATATTGTGAAACCTCCCTGATTCTCACATATTCTAATTAAATACAAATTTAAGACACCATGAGAAAATTCCTCCACTGAGGATTTTGTAGATCATGAAGATGAATAAGCAGAGAGGCTACAGGATGCTGACGAAATGTAGCAAGAACAACAGAGTGTACAACTGACCAATATCCTTCACAACCTTGCAGTAAAAAAGTAAGCTCAAAAACCACCACATAAGTGATTTTCCAATGAAATTCTAAAACAGTCTAAGAAAACATTCTGGAAATTTTCAGCATAGGATAGAGATGTGATATAGAGAAGATGTAGACATGGTTACCAGCCTTAGTCCTATCCATGCCATACATAGCTTTTCCTATTAATGTGACCAGACAGTCTGGGAACATTTCTGACAGCATGCCATAAACACAATCAACATTCAGTTTTATCCTAAGAAGGTTCATGCTATTCTATTCCATGTAAACTAGAATTTGTTATGTAGACACTACCTTGCAAGCCAACATACTGTTGCCTGCATTCCAGAAACTAGGCAGTATATGCTGTATAACAGCTTGCACTCAGGATGGTATAAATACCAAGAAAAAAAATGGATGGAAATGTTCTGAGAATGTAGTAGACAGTGAGACTGCAGTTATAGTTGGTGTAATTGGAGAAAAGTTAAACTATGAATGTGGTTTGGTTATGGGGTAGTTGCACAACTTAATGTAATGTGTGTGAAGAGTAGATCTGTGCCTGATGATTGCAAGAATACCCTTATTGTTCCTTTATCACAGGGAAAGGTAGCAAGACTGAATGCAAAAACTACAGAGAGAATTTAGTTTGTTTAGTGTGCCTGGGAACACGTTAGGCAGAATTCTGTCTCAAACAATGTAAGAGGTGACAATGAGCAACATTTATGAAGTGCAGTGCAGCTTTATACCAGGAGGAGGCATACAGATCAGGTTTTTGCTACTGGGGAAGTTGCTGAGAAGTTATGAACAAGAATATCTAAGTATGAGTTTTTCTTAAGAAATACTGTAGGGAGTGGCAAGGCTCCAAATGCCACTTTCCTCTGTGATCTGCCTATCTCTGTAACTACCATGCCAACCCGCTTCTGCCACTCTCCTGACAAAAATAGAGTATATGTAAACCACAACCCTGACTTAGGGGTTGATGAAGAGGCCCTATGACTAGAAGAAGAATTGTGTTGGCCAACCTGCTTTACAAGC